TTCTTTCTAATGCAGAAAGCCCAGTCAGTGCTGGGTAAGGGGGCCTTTCTTTCTAATGCAGAAAGCCCAGTCAGTGCTGGGTAAGGGGGCCCCCGCGTGGAGGCTCCCTGCAACTGCAGATGTCCAGCAGGGGCTGGGGAGGTGGGGAGACAGCGCTGGACTCCAGCTCCTGCGCCAGGCTCACCTAAGGCCTCATCATTGTCTTCCGTGTCGCTGGCCAGTCGGAATAGCGTGGGCCGCATCCGCTCACAGCGCTGATACAGTTCCTGGGGACAGCAGGGTGGGCACATCAGGGCCAGGGGGCTCTGGCACGGGCCGAGTGGGGAGGGGACAGCGCACCTTCATGAGGTCCTCGCTGCTGCCGGCCACCGCGCTGCCCTGGCTGTGGCTCATCACCATCTCCGTCAGCAGCTTCACGTTATTGTTCACCTCCTCGATGGCGTTCACCCGCTTCGAGATCTTCTCCATCCGCTTCTGGTCCTGTGTAGGCCGAAGCACACAGTGAGAGCCGCACCAGGCACTGCCCACCCCGAAGGAACACAGGGGCTGGCTGGGTGTGACGCCAACTATGGTTGGCGCTTACTATGTCCAGGACAGGGTACGCTGGTCCTGGAAGCCCTCTGCCACCATGTGGTCATTTCCACTCATGCTGCCAGGGCCCCCAGGCCCAGCCTCTGCAGGAGCTCACAGCAATCCCCAGTGTGGCCTGGGAGCTGCTTCTGAAGGGCTAGAGTCCTAGATCCACACTGGGGGCTCTAGGTGACCCCTGCTCTCCTGTGTCTGACCCTTGAGAAGACGTTCCCATGCTTGGCAGCGAAAGCGGACTGCCACAGCCAGCAAGCACGACCTGGAGACAAGCTCAGTCCTGCCCAGTGAATGTGGGCCTTTAAAGGTGGCCATGGGAAGTGACCCCAGTCAGTCTTCTTGCTGGGCACGTACCTCCCTCTCAGAGGGGAGGGTGCGCACGTGCTGTGCAGCGGGCAGAATCTCGCTCCTTGGCAGGGGCTCAACTCTCTCAGCTGTCAGGGTATGCAGTGTGGCCCTTGAGACAACCCCGAACTTGTGCCCTCTGGGCCCTGGATGCAGCCTCTACAGAGCCCGGGCAGGAGACTCAAAGGAGCATCCAGTAGCTGGTCCAGGACCCCAGCTGATGACCAGCCCACCAGCCTGAGAGAGAACTCGCTTCCCGGAAGGACGAGCTGGCAGCTTCTGCGAAGCCCACACTTTTTATGCAGAAACATGGATTTTTCAAGACAACTATCTGATGATCTGGCTACATGGGGCTAAGGGCAGCCCCACCCACTTCTGCACCAGGTTCTGCTTTGTAGCCCTTAACCTTTCACACTGATTATCAGCTCTGCTCCCATCTCTGCTACTAACCACCACCCTGCAAACTTCTGTCAGTACTGGGGACTGCAGCCAGAGGCTCTCTACCCATAAGCTGCACCCCAGCCCCATCTATCTATCTATCTATCTATCATCTATTATTTATTTGAGACAGGGTTTCACTATGTAATCTAGATTAGCCTGCAACTCACTATATAGCCCAGGTTGGCCTTAAACTCAGTGATCCCCCTGCCTCAGCCTCCTGAGTGCGTGGATTACAGGTTACACCACCACGCCTGGCAGCAAACTTCTTAGTGACTTTCCCTAATCCATAAAGTATTCAGAGCTGGGTGCTGTGGCACATGCCTGTAATCCCAGCACTCCAGGAGACTGAGGCAGTAGGATGGAAAGTTCAAGCCCAGCCTGGGGAATTTAGCAACTTAGTGAGACCCTGTCTCAGTGTATTTTGGTGTTTTTTGGTACCTGCAATTGAATTCAGGACCTTATGCTTGCCAAGCAAGGTGCTGTGCTGCTGAGCTATATCCCTCGCTCTCCCTGTCTCAATATAAAAAAATAAAAAGGGGACAGGGGACGTAGCTCAGTGTGAAGGCCCTGGGGTCAACCCTCAGCATGTCCTCCCAAAGATTCAGTGTACATCCTCAACCTATATTTACTTGGGGCCAGGGATATAGCTCAGTGGTACAGTAAGTGCAAGGTCCTGAGTTTGATTCCCAGTACCCCCCAAAACCTACATTTCCTCATATATTAAACATGCATGACTGTCTATGTACATTCATACACACATAATACACTTGCCTACATACTTTAAAACACATACTAAGGGTCAATTTATTTTTCTTTTGCAGTTGGGGACGGAAGCCAGGCTTATAAGCGCCATATAAGCGATCCACCACCGAGCCATGCCCACCTGCATTCACATCTAATGTCAGGGAACAGCAGCCTTGGCCTTGCAGATGTCTGTACAAGGCTGTTAGCTCAGGCGGCTACGGCCTGCAGCAGGCCCTCTGGCCTATGCGTGCACCCAGCGCCAGGGCCACGCCCTGCCCACCTGCCTCCTATGCCCTGGGCCCTGCCTCACCTCCTGCACCATCTCCTTGATGAGCTTGTTGGCCGCTCGGAGGTCCTCAGGGTGGGAGCTCTTCAGCAGGCGTGCCAGCATCTGCAGGGACAGGTGTGTGACTATGAGGGCAGCATCAGGCAGGAGCCTCAGGCCAGCACCCCAATTCCCGGCCTCGGGACCTGGGCAAGTTGCTAAAGCTCTCTCGGAACTGGCAGGAATTTACCAACACCTGGTGGCTGTCCTTATGGACAGGAGAGGCGCTGCGAGCGAAGTCCTCCCCCTAGAGCCTGGTGGCGGGGCGTCCTCCATGGCAGCCTCCTGTGTCACTGTGGCTTTCTTTTCTTTTTTGTACCAGAAATTGAACTCAGGACCTTCTGCTTGCCAGGCAGGCACCTGTGCTGCTGATATATATCCCCAGCCCATCACTGTGGCTTTCTGAGAACCATCTAGGATATGGACATGTTGTCCCCCTCTGGGGCCAGCAGAGCTAGGGAGAGAAGTCCACTTCCACCTCTTTGTTTAGTCCTTATCGTCTAATCCATTATTACATAAAGACATACAAACTCAGCCGGGCATGGTGCATGCCTGTAATCCCAGCACTCAGGAGGCTGAGGCAGGAGGATTACCAGGAGTTCAAGGCCAGCCTGAATGACACAGCAAGACCCTCTCTCAAAAAAAGAAGAGACATGCAAACACTTCAAGCTAACTCAGGGACATCTTCTATGTGTGTTAAATGCAGGAACAACACACAGGACGTACTTGGCACCAGGAAGAGCTTTATAAATGGTGCCTGTCACCCTCTACAGGGACCATTCTCAGTATAAGCCTCTGCTTCAAGTGGCCCAAGTGCCCAGTTCCTCCCTGCAGCCTCACCTTGGACTTCTCTTCATCTTCAAAGATCATGTTCTTGGGCCGAGGAGCGGGTTGGGGAAAGACAGCGTCCTCTGGAAGCGTGGGATCAGACTTCACGATGCCTACAGTAGACAGGGTCAGCAATGCCATCAGTAGGTCCCAGGCCAGGGGCAGTGGGGAGCTGGGGACGGGGTAGGACAAAACAAGGCAGATCTCTTCCTCTGAGCTGTGTGTCAAGCTGCATGGGGAGAGAGTCTTGAGTACCCAAATTTCGAGGCCATGCTCAGAGGGAAAACTTGACCCAAACCCACCTTTTCTCTACCTAAGCTGGCCTCTGGCCCAGCCAGCCAAAGGCCCCACTGGCCATTTGTTCTCTAGAAGTTAGGGGCAGACTGCAACCTTGCTGGCCTGAAGCCCCTGAAGCTGCTGGAGCCCCAGAAGGGGCCTGGGGTGCCTCACCCTGCTTCTTAAGCATCTGGTAGGCCTCTGCGATCTTCACCTCCTCGGGCAGGCCGACCGTCCAGCTGTAGAGCAGCTCTAAGATCTTGTTCTTCACCTTCTTTGACGTTCGGGAGCCCAGGTACTTCAGTGGAGAGGAGAGGGACACTGTGACACTGCCCAGCCCTACTTGTGACAGCCCCAAGTCCAGCCCAAGCCGGGTGCCTTCCCTGGCAAAGCTCTGCCTCCAGGTTCCTCAATCTCTGCCCAAGCAGCGTTGAACCCACCTCCTAGCTCTGCCACTTACTGCCCACATCAGCCCTGTGACTCGGTTTCCCCATTGTGCTGGAGATGAAGAGCTGACCAGGGAAGGCCCAGAGCACAGCGCCTTCTCAGAGGTGACGCATGGACAACCCTGTGACCTTGAGGAGGAGCCAGAGGCTTCCAGCTGACTAGGGAAGGGGCACGTGTGGAACCAAGGGCCTGCGCCCCACACCCTGTCGCCAGCAGCACACCCAGCTGGGAGAGGCGGCTCTCATCCACCTGGGAGGGAGATGGAGCCTGCAGAATCATTCAGCAGCTCTGGACAGAGACTGGGGCCGAGCGAGGGATGCTGAGGGATGGCCCTCATCCAGGGCCACTGCGCATGTCCACGCCCACAGGAGAACTCCTCACAAGGCCAGCGTGGGGTCTGGCCCATCTGCCAGCTCGGATTTGTGGCCTCGGATGCCATGGCCCAAGGAGGCCACTCCTGGGTGGCAAGGACCGAGAGGCCTTCTGCCAGACACCAGGTGAGCGCTATGGCCAGGTAAGTATCAAGTGATCTTGGAGCTGGGCAAGCCATCTTCCAGGCAATCGGGGAGCTCGGTGGCACCTGGCACCTCCCTCTGGTTAGCGGGAAGGGAGGGCTCTTCGCAAAGCACCAGGCTGTCGCCAGCCCAGTTGGGAAGGGGCCTGTGCTAAAGGGTCTGTGTCTGCTAAGTCCAAATTTGAAGGACCCAGGGGCAGACACACCCCAGGCTCCTCCGCCCTCGACCGACATCCCCCGGTTTCTGCCGGCGCCAGGGGCACGCACCTTGGGAGACACAACCTTGATGAGCTCGTTGAGGAAGCGGAACTTGCCCACCTCGTCGTGGAACCTCTTGCCGCAGCTCTTCATGCATGTCTCCAGCACCTGGCCGGAAGGTGAGTGAGGGTCCGGGCAGGACGACAGGAAGCAGCCCCCTCCCACAGCCGGCCAGCACAGGAGAAGAGGGCAGCGACCCTGAGGACGCCATGGGCGGAGGGTCCAGGGCCTGAGACTGGTCAGCACGCCCTTGGGTATGGGTCCGGGACGCGGAGGGACTGGCACTGCCTTCTCCATTCTCCACGGCACATCTGGGCAGGCCCTGCACACTCTTCTCACTGCTTTTCTCTTTTTTAAAAAAAATTAATTTCTTTCTTTCTTTACTGCAGTGTTGAGGACGGAACCCAGGACCTTATACAGGTCAGGTAAATACTCTGCCAGTGAGTTACACCTCCAGCCCCCTTTTCTTCTTTTAATTTGGTACCATTTACTTTGCCTTTTCTGGAACTGTATCTGTGAAACCACAGGACTCCTGTACAATTGAGAAATAAAGCTAACACACTCATAGAAGATGCAATTTTTTTTTCTTTTTTCTTTTTGGGACAGTGTCTCACTATACAGTTCAGGCTGGCCTTGAGCTCACTTTGTAGCCCAGGCTGGTCTCAAACTCTCAACGATCCCTCTGCCTCAGCCTCCCGAGTGCTGGGATTACAGGCGTGCACCACCACATCTGGTAAAAGATGCAATTACTAAAAGGAAAACCTTTCCTCTTCCCTGCCTCATTGCTCTGAGGCGGCTGGCACACGGCCCCAGCATGGACAGCCCATCATCCTCATCTGCTAGTGGCACAGCTGTGACACCTCAAGCCTGAGCGTGGGGGTCTCCCGGCACCTCCGCTGGAAGGACAGTGCTGTCCTGGGTCTGGAGACCAGGGAGGGTGAGATGCTCCTGCACTGAACTTGGCAAGGAGCACTACAGACATGCAGATTCCTGGATGAACATATTGAAAGGGTCCTCATTCAGCAGGTCTTGGTGAGGCCCTGGCCTAGGGAGTGAACCCAGGGAATGCTGGGCTGTATCCCCAGAACTCTTCCTCCTCCTTATATTTTGAGATAATATCCCAGTAAGCTGCCCAGGCTGACCCTGAACTTAAGATGTTCCTGCTTCGCCAGGCATAGTGGCGCACGCCTATAATCCCAGCACTCGGGAGGCTGGGGCAGGAGGATTGTTGCGAGTTCAGAGGCCAGCCTGGGCTACAAAGCGAGCTCAAGGCCAGCCTGAACTGCACAGCAAGACCTTGTCTCAAAAAATGCCAAAAAAAAAAAAAAAAGGATGCTCCTGTTTCGGCCTCTTGAGTAGTTGAGATTACAGTTGTGCTCCCCATGCCCAGCTGACTCGCTGTTTACCGTGCCTCCCAGACAGGCATCTTTCTGTGCAATTGAAGTAGGGACCCCTGGGCCATTGGCCCTCACCCCGCCGCTCAACAACATGCCTATGTGTACAGAGGCCGGGGCAGGAGGCTGCTGTGGTACCCTCAGAGGCTGGCTCCATCCCGGGCCACCTGGTCACAACGCCCTTGGGCTCTAAACAGAGCTTTATGAAACCCCAAGAATCTTAGTTTGGGCCTCAGTCCGGCACCATCACCAGGCTAGGGGTGCCGGTGACAGGCACCCTTTCTCCCCTCCTCACCGTCAGAGCCTGGATCGCCTCCCACTCCTGTGGGGACTGGATCTTGTGGGCCAGCAGCCGGGTAGCAAGTGGAGGCCTGCGTGAGAGAACAACAGTGCCAGGACTGCGATGGCGCCCCAGTCCCTCCACGAGGAGAACACCGGCTGAGCCCACGGGGACTGCGGCCCTCTGCAGTATCCTAGGGCATAGGCCACGGCCCAGCCTGCTCTCTGCATCAGAGGAGGATCTGGGACAGTGGCGGGATGGCCAGGCAGGGCCCCTCAGCTGGCTTTAAGAACCACATGTTCTGTCTTTGGCTCGCTGTAGGGACAAGTACAGCATGGGACCATGGCCTTCCCAGGCCCAGTCCAGGAGCAAACCCTGACAATATGCGCGACAGCCAGCCAGACACAGCTCCCCGGGAACTCGCGGCAGCAAGGAATGTTCTGCTGGGGGAGTCAGAGCTGCTCCACGGTGGAGGTGGTGACAGTGCCTACCAGGTCATAAAGCCCTGTCGCCAGTGACAGCGATGGCTAGCACTGTCTGGGGAGTACCTGAGCGCTGAAGGTGTGCGAGGTGCTTCACAGCCCTTTCCTGCCCGAAATGCGCGGGCACAGGGAAGCCTTCGGCACCTCCCTGGGACCAACACCCTCATTCCCTCACACAGCGGAGAAGCGCAGGCTCAGAGCCCTCGGCTACTCGGTTGAGAGAGGGGACGGGCTTCTCCGGGGTGCCTGACCCCCAGCACATGTCGGTCACCTGCACCCATGACGGGGTGGAGGCCAGGTCCCCGATCTGTGGTCCCCAGGCTTCTGCACCTCCTGAGAGCTGGCTGAGTGTCCACCCCCAGGCCTTGGCCCGAGTCAAGTGTGAGGTGGCCCAGAGTGCACTCTAGACGGGCCTCCAGGATGCTCGCTCTTCCTTGAGCAACGGGGCCAGCAGGCGAGCATACAGTCCTCCCTCTGGCAGGCCCCGCACCAACCACTGGCTCGGGGAACAACCTGGTCTAGCCTTGACACCTCAGGACTGCCGCTGTCTGCTGTGAGGCCCAGGGGTAAACCGCCAAGTCCCTCCACTTCAGCTCCTCAAGGGCCCTTGAGGGCATCACACAAGCAGCCCTGATACAAAGGGCCTGCTCTCCAGGTCCGCTGTGGAACGTCCTTAGAAGGGAAGCTGGTCCCGGGGCAGCTAGGTCTGTCTGTCTGGGGCCTGGAGCACACGTGACAGTGCACACTGGTTCTGTTGAGCGTGGCAGCGTGCGCGGGGGCCACCTACCCCTTGAAGTCCTCGTTGAGCTGCTCGCAGAAGCCGTTGATGCTAGCCCAGTTCAGCTCCTTGTTCAGGGGGTTTGTGGCTCTGTCTGCAAGAGGAGAGGGGCTCAGTGGGGCCCGAGCAGCCTCAGCCCTGAGCGCAGATGTCCCGATGGGGGACAGATGAGCACATGGCCGTTGGCTCCCGCTCAGCTTCGCACCGCTTTTAGAGTTGTGCCTAGGGCTCGCTCTGCACCCTGCCACCTCCCCTGTAGATGGGACCCTGCCACACTGACCTCACCTGCTGCTTCTGCTCACGGAAACAGCAGCCCCACTGTTCTTACAGAATTTGTGCTCAGAAGAGATCAGAGGTGAGTGGGGAAAAGCCACAGGCCTCCCTCAAGGAGTAAGTTGCCAGGCAGGGGCCCAGGGAGGCTAGGTGCTTCATCAAGTGTGACAGAGGGAGGCAAGGCGCTTAACCTGGAGCCAGGAAGGTGGATGGAGCGTCCAGGCAGGGTGGGATGGTGCTCACAGGCTGTGAAGGGCATGGATCGCTAAGCTCATGGCAGAGCATGAAGGGCCTCAGAATGAAGTGTGGCTTTTATCCTCATGCTGGGGTCAGAAAGCCATGCTTTCCCAGGAGAGGCCCAGGCCACCTCCTCCAGGCAGCCCTGCGCCAGCCACTCCTGCCCAAGTGTGCAGTCCCCCAGGCTGTTCCGCCCTGTGGCCTAGCCACTTGCGCTCACACCTGCCTCCCCTCCTTGGGTGAATGAATGAATGAATGAATGAAGGGTCAGCTGTGCTCAGCAGGGGTGGGGCTGGGGATATCCAATTCAGGAATGGCCAGCACAGGGTAGACAGGTCTACAGGACGGGGAAGGCAAACAAGACCTAGCTACCTCGGACAGTGGTTAGACAGCAGTCTAGTGGGTCACATAATCTCCCCACTTAGACAGCTGGAGTGAAATACGGACCAATTTCAGGTGACAAAACTCTTGTGGGCATGGTCAGGCCGAGGCGGGCCACAGCAGGGCCTTCGCTTCCCCACAGCCGGTCTCCTGGCTTCCCGTCTCCAGCCCAGTCAAGCACCGAGCTGGGGTGTGGTGGGAACGCAGCCCAGGAGGAGGCTGGAGAACCAGCACGGGCCTCCTGCCCAGTTACTAGGGGCCTGTGTATGACCCTGTGACCTCGAGGCCCTGCATCCCAGTGCCTGGCAACCACTCCCTCCACTCGTATTTATTCAATAAATATTCTGGGTGCTGGAGCCATAGCAGCCAAGACGACAGAACCCTGCCGTCCTAAAGCTCAGGCCCAGGAACAGAAACACTGAACGCTCAGGTTAACACACGCAGAACGCCACAGCACTGTGAGGGGTTCAGAGGACTGCAGGCCCCGGAGGCCCTCCAGGAGGTACGGCTGGCCAGGATGGGAGCCAGGTGTTTTCTCTCTGGGTACAACCAGGGGACCCTCCTCTGAGGAACAGAAGGATTGAGCAGAAGCTCAGCCCTGCAAACCCCCAGGGGTCTCAGGAGTGTACTCGCCCCGGGCAGAAGGCACCCATCTCCTCGGCCTCCCACTCTCCCAACATGGGCCAAAGGCTGGGCGCACCAGCCTGGAGTTAGAAAGAAAACGAAAGGAACACTGCCTGCTTGATATCCAGTTGCGGGGACCCTAAAACAGGAAGTCCCTTCAAGTGTCAAAGACATGTGACCCTGCGTGAGACAGGGAAGCTGAGTCTGGAGCCAGCTTGAGTCAGAAACTTGCAGACAGGAAGCGCTGCCCCTCAGGAGACACCAGCTTTCTCCCCGGCTACTGGCCTCCATCCAGGGCGTCTGCGTCTGAGGAGCTGACCCACCTCCCTGGCTCCTGGGTACCCAGTCCTCTCTACTTGACCTGGGGGAGAGCCTTCTACGATGGCAGCAGGGGACAGCGCTATGAGAGGGACAGAGCTATTTCACAAGAGCGTGTGACTCCACCCTGTCACTCCACAGCGGTGACAGTGTCATCATTTACGCCACCAGAAAGTACTCTTTACTTTCAAATCTCCACTAAAGAAAAACTCCCAGTTTTGCTAGGACACAAGGGGAAAGAAAAAGAGAACAACCGGAGCATGAACCCATTAGGCTCAAGTATCTCCAGCTCCTGCCTGTTTCTGGCCTCTGGCCTCTGGCCTCTGGCTTCCGAGAAAATCCCTAGTAGTTAAACCTTAACGTGTGTGTTCTCCTGTGCTGGGGATGGAATCGAGGACCACACGGCGTGCCAGGCAAGGCTCCACCGCTGGGCTCCACCCCACCTCTTACCTGACGCTGTTCTGCATCATCCAGAGCTGCAGTCCTGCAGCCCATCTGAAACAGTCAGCCAGGGCCCCGCCTATCACCCCAAGTTGCCAGTCCTGGGCACTTGTGGCACTCTGAACAGTCAAAGGCCGCTGAGCGTCTCCTTTCCGCCCCCTCCCCCACCGCGCTGGCTGAGGACTCTGCAACATCCCCTGGGACTGTGTGGTTCTGAGGCCAACTTCAGGGTGTCAACTCTGCTCAAGACTGGTGCTAACCCCGTGCCATGGACACAGCTCCTGGCGTGCTCTGACCCAAGCGGCTTCTCTGAGGACCTGGTTCGGACAAGGGTCCGACAGGTGGAAAAGCCTCGGGAGAGAGCTGCCACTAGAGCGAGGAGAAGCGAATCACAGCTTTTCAGGGGCAGAGCCCAGGGAAGTGAGGGCTGGAGGTCCTCCGCACGCTGGGACAGGACGCTGCAGTGGAGGGTCTGGGGGCTCGGAAGCTTGTTTGGAAAGAAGCTGTCTCTGAGAAGAGACAGGAAGAGCAGCAGAGGCCTCCAAGCAAGAGCCAGGAAAGGAACCCTGGATGGAGGGGCAGGAAATAAAGGTTGGGCTGAGGGTAGTGACAGTGAACTTGGACTGACTTACTTATGTAATCTGAGACGCGACCCTCCCAAGCCTGTAGGGTCTGGGGGTTTGTCGCGCTGTGGCCAGTGCTGGGGGGCAGCTGGGGGATCAGATGGGGCAGGGAGTGCTCCCCTTCCTGGACAGGGAAGGAGCACCTCTGAGAACAGCTGCAGGCTCAAGGATAGGGCAGGAGGGAATCACGCCACGCAGAGCCTGAGAGGGCAAGACTGGGGCCCGAGGAGAGAAGGGTCCGTCCCTCCCGGGTATGCGATGCAGTCCTGGGACTCGCTCGCTCCCTCCCGAAGCCAAGGGAGACTTGGGGGGCCGCGCTTCGAAAGAGCAGCCCGGGCCGGAGCGGACTGGGGCTGCTCTCTGGGTCCCGGAGGTTCCGGGCGCAGCTCACTCCCTGCCCAGGGTCATGGCCCCGCGGGTCGCACAGCTGGCGGGGTCTTCTCCCAGCCAGGGTCCGAGGGGTGGACTTGGGGCACCGCCCCTCCCGGGCCGGGGGCGGGGCGTGAGGAGGGGGCGCCGCGTACCCCGCCCCCGCCGGGAAGGGGACCGCCTCGCACCCCCGGTTCCGGTTCCGGTCCGACCCGCGCCCCTCCCGGACACTCACTGATTCGCGCCTCCAAAGTCTCCGGCTCCATCGCTGGCTCCATCCGCCACGGGCCCCCAACCTCGGCACCGCCCCCCGCCCCCTGCAGCTCTCGCGGGACTTCCTCGGCACCGCCCTCCACGGATTAAAGGGCCAGCGTCCTCCCTGCCGCGCGGGAGCGGTACGCTGGAGCGCTGGGCACCATAGAGGTGCGGGCGCGCTCGCCTAGAGCGTCACCTGCTCTCCAGCCCTCTCCGCCGCGCGGATGGGATCGCCTGCCGGCTTTTCCGTTCCCGGCGCTCAGGCCGAAGGGTAGGCGGAGAGACTGAGGGCTGAGGATAACACCATGGAAACCCCACGAGACGCTCTAACTCGTTCTGCGTCACAGAGGTGCCTGTGACTGCTTCCGGAAGAACGCTCTGGGGGCCATGTTTCTGAGGGGCTCTGAGGTCACTTCCGGAGCCCAGAGGGGTACTTCCGCTGAGGTGAAAAGGTGGGAGGGTCTCTTAAAAGGGCAATGACATACATTGGCGGCTGTGGCAATGACGAGGATGAGTCGATATCTGGTGCTGGCTGTCTCCCAGGCATTGTTCTAAGCACTTTTTAGACATCGTCACTCCTCACTACAGACCCGCGAGTGAGACAGTTGGTTTGCCTGAGGTTACAGTGTCAGACTATTGCATTGTATTCCCTACTGCATTCATCCTGCAAACATTTAATGAACTCATGGCTTTTGTTTTGCTCCACGATAGGCACTGGAGAAGGATAAAGGTATAGATATTCGTTGCACGAAGTGATAGGGGAACCCCACAGGGTAGTGCACATACAGGAGGGGTCCTTTTTCCCCAGACTGGGTGTTGGCGCGCGCGAGGGGCCGTTCTTGTCAGGAGAGTGTTCGCAGAGGAGGAGACGAGTTAGCCGGAACGTCTGCTGAACATCTGTTCAGGATGAGAGTCAGATGAGATCAGGGAATGCAAGTATTTCTATAAGGCTCCAGGAAGCGGGCTGGGGAAGATCACGCGGGTCCTGGGTTTGGCTTTTTTGTGTAAGCACTATCGGGGGAGTCGTTAGAGAGCTCTAAGAAAGGTCAAAAAGTCAAGCTTTTGTTTACAAGACATCCAGGCGGCACCAGCGCACAGATACTGGTGAAGGACACACCGCAACAGGAGCGGGCAGGATGAACACACTTTCTAGTCTCGGGGATCTTCTGCTTCTCCCTCACCTGCCTTTTCCATCCCGGCCTCTCACCGCCCGCCCAGGGACGTCAAGCCCCGGGCGAGCCGGGTCGGTTGCTCTCCGTCGCCCCCTGGCGGTCCACGGGGGAACCTGCCCTTGGTGCCCTTTCCAGCCGCCCTGGCCGGAAAGAGTTAAAGCATAACTGAGGGTAGGGGATCTGGCGAATCCGGCTCTGTGGGGCCGGCGCCTTTGCGAGTGACCTCATTCACCTTGTAAAATCGCAGTGACCTCATCTGGGTCAGCTTTTCCACTAAATTCACCCATTGAGCTGATTGGAATGCTAAATTCTGTCCCGCAGGCCATTAAAATTATATAGGAAAGGGATTATGTATGTTTATTGCAGTCTTAAAAGCTGTAACAGAAGATGTACTTGGAACTTCCTTTTATTACTAAGATGAATTGTTAGTGAAATAAAACGCAAGCTGCACTTACTGTGTTGAATTAAAGGCATATCCACGCTGTCAGAAGTCACTTTATTATTCCTGATGTGTTTTTTTGGTTTTTGTTTGTTTGTTTGTTTGTTTTTTCCGGTACCGCTAATCAAACTCACGGCCTTGCGCCAGCCGGGCAGGCACTGTGCCGCTGAGCTAAATCCCCAGCCCCTATTCCAGATTTTTAGATACAAAGTCTTGCTATGTAGACCAAGCTGGCCTTGAACTCACTGTGTAACCCAGGCTAGTCTCGACCTGGAGATTCTCCTGCCTCAGCCTCCTGAGTGCTGAGATCACAGCGCTGCATGCTTCATTATGCCCTGCTCAGAAGTCACCTTTTAGCTACCTTTTAGCCGGGTGGTGCATACCTGTAACTCAGCACTCAGAAAGCAGAGGCTGGAGGATCACTGGGAATTCAAAGCCAGCCTGGCCTACGTGGTGAGTTCAAGGTCAGCCTGAACTGCATAGTGAGACCCTGTCTCAAAAAAAGAAAAACAAAAATTGTGGAGGACATTCTTTGTTTAGAATGCATTGAGGACACAGTGATTTGTTTATTATTTGTTCAAGTTTCTTAAGATAAGACTTTATTATACAGCCCAGATTAACCTTGAGTTTAGGATCCTCCTGTCTCAGCCTCTTTTTTTTAACGATTTTTAAATTTTTATTATTATTATTTTTTGGCTTTTTTCCAGTACTGGGAATCGAACTCATGACCTCGAGCTTGCCAGGCAGGGGCTGTGCCGCTGAGCTAAATCCCGAACCCCTGTCTCAGCCTCTTGAGTGCTGGGATTACAGGCTGGGATTACATGTGGAGAAGGATAATCCTTTAATTATCTTTGCTAAAACCTTTGGTATCCACCCATTTGTACTAGCTATGCCCTGGGTTCTCGCTCATTAAAAGTTGACTGAGAGGGGCTGGGGATTTAGCTCAGCGGCAAAAGCGCCTGCCTGGCAAGCGCAAGGTCGTGAGTTCGATTCCTGGTACCAGAAAAAAAAAAAAAAAAAAAAAAAAAAAAGTTGACTGAGATTGGTAATCGGGGCTGCAGTCTGAGAGGCTGTACACCCCGATCCCAGAATTTTTGCCTCTCTTGGTTTTCTTTTTTCTTACTTTTCTTTTCATCCATGGGTACCTCATTCTGGGGACCCGTTCACCCTGGACAGAAATGGATGAGTTATCCAACAAAAAATAAAACAAGAAGTCATCTTTTAAAAACAATGTAGGAGCTGGGTGTGGTGGCCCACGCCTGTAATCCCAGCACTCGGGAGGCTGAGGCAGGAGGATCATTGCGAGTTCAAGACCAGCCTAGGCTACAAAGTGAGCTCAAGGCCAGCCTAAACTGCATAGTGAGACCCTGTCTCAAAAAGACAAAAAATAAAATAAAATAATAAAAAAATAAATAGAAGACAATGTAGATTTGACGTGGGTGCAGATTCTGGCATCACTGCTTTATAAACTGTGGGGCCTGAGCATGTGGGGTGACCCTTCTATCTCGGGCTTCTCATCCGAAGCTTGGTTGGGAGAGAGTGAGGCCAGAGGTCCTGGGGCACCCCTGCCCCCTGAACGTCTTGCCTTAGCATTGAACCCCTGTATATGGTGGAGATGAGATCGAATCCAGGGCCTCAGATCCTCTACCACCGAGCTGTACCCCCAGCCCTCCACCCTTCATTTCTTTGCGTCACCCCATTTGCTGTGTCCTGCACCAGAATGCATGTTCCCTCAGGAGCCTCTTTCCGTGGGGAATTTCATGTTTGCTGACTATCCTAAGGCCTAAAGCAGTAACTGGGACCCAGTGGTTGGGGTTGGGGCTCAGAGCATGGGACCCCATAGTATGGAGTCTCAACATTTGGAACAATAAAACTGGAAATGCCGCTAGGAGACCTCTCAGCTAAGCCATGGTGGCACGTTGTTATCCCAGTGCTGGGAGGCTGAGGCAGGAGGATGGCAAGTTGGAGCCCGGCCTGGGTGATTTAGCAAAACCTTGTCTCAAAAAGATAAAAATAAAAAGGGCTAGGAATGTAGCTCAGCGTAAAGGCCCCAAGTTCAATCCCCAGTGCCACATAAATAACAAAATAAAGAAGAAGGCCACTCCAACCTTCTCACCACGCCTTAAGCCATGGAAACTAGCAGTCCTCCTTCCCCGGGTGGGCTGGGCTGTACCATCCAGGACCAGATTTCTCCCAAAGCCATAAAACTTGGAAATGTGACTCTGTTTTGGAAATTTCCTGTCTTTCTGTGTAAGAGCTGGATTCCCTCGCCTGCTCTTACCAGAGAGGAGACCATAAGACCTTGATCCCAGAGGGTCCTGCCCTGAGAGCCAGGGGCCGGAAGAGCTGGGACAGACAGGCCTTGTGGTCCCCATTCCAGCTCCCCTGGGTCACACCCTTCGCCCAATCAGATTCCTCCACGTTGCCTGTACTTCATCAAGCCTCGGCATAAAGATGGACAGTTCTCCCTGGGTCTCCATTCTGAAGGCGCCCATCACATAAAACTTTGATTAAATAAATTTGTTATGCTTTCTTCCCATTTGTGTGTCTGTCTTTGTCCATTTTATTCAGACCCAGCCAGAAACCCTAGGTGGGCGAGGAAGCTTCTCCTCCCCTACAGTGCTCAATAAATCTGCATTGAACAAATGGATGAATGAGCTGGCTGGAGTGCACCCTGGAGCCCTGGGGAGCCTGGCTGCAGAAAGGGGACCAGGAGCTGGGTCTCTGCAGGGAGGGCTTGGCCCTGACTGCAGCAGCGCAGCGGAGGAGGTGCAGGAGGAGGTGCAGGAAAGGCAGAGAGCTCCTCAGGGTGGTGACCGGAAGCAGCGCAGGACACAGGAAGCGCAAGGATTTGGCTTCCGGTTACTGTTCCCATCGTTTCCTACCATTTGCAAAATGGTTCGCTCTGAGCTTGAGGAAATCTCTGATTCAGGGAGCCTCTGGCCGGGGGAAGCTGTCCTGGTAGCAACTGATCAGCACCCCAGGCTCAGCTCCAACGACTCATCACTTCAACCCTACCGCCACAACCCCTTGGACAGGGCACGAGAGATGGGCCAGGGTGGAGGGGCAGGAGGAGGTGGGGGAGGACAGAGAGGCGGCCTGTGATGTGCAACTCTTCCTGGAGAACAATCCTAGGGGCTCCAACTGCAGCCCTTGAGACCCCCAGACAGATTGTGGATCACATGTGCCACCCACGCAGACCTCTGGTGACAAGGACATAGAGGACCTTGGTTGTCATCGTTCCTTTAATCCTCATGCAGACCTCACAGTTAATTTTCCCCTGCTGATTCTAGGGATTGAACCTCGGGCTTTTGTATTGAGCTATATTCCCAGTCCTCTTTTTAGTTTTGTTTTGTTTTGTTTTGTTGTTTTTTTCCAGTACTTGGAATCAAACTCACGACCTTGCACTTGGCAGGCAGGCGCTGTGCCGCTGAGCTAAATCCCCAGCCCCTAGTCCTCTTTTTAAATATATATATATTTTTAAACAGGGTCTTGTTCAGTCACTAAATTGTCCAGGCTGGGCTGAAACTTGCCATCTTCCTGCCTCAGCTTCCCACAATGCTGGGAGGGCAGGCCTGGGCCACCACACTTGGCCACAATTGAATAGTATTTTCTCCGTTTCACAGATGAAAAATCTGAGGCCCTGAGTAATATGGCCTCTATCACAAGGGTTCGTGAAAGACAAAGTCCCTGCCTTCAGCGGGTGGAAGACAAAAAGCAAATAGAGCCCAAATGGGCTGGTGTGAGTGAATGGAAACCATTTGGGAAGCAGTCTGGGAAATGCCTTTTGAGGAGGTGACATT